CTTATCAATAATGTTCTTTGTTTTTTTCATAATTGATATCGTTGAATTTTCTTTAATAAAACTTTTTCTAATATGAAAACCATAAGGAACCTCAAATAATATCGTGTAAGAAGCTATTATGTATAAAATATTGAGTAATATGATTTCAAGAATCATGACTGCAATCTCTCAGAATACTTTTCATTGTGAATAAATCAATAGATCTTACATTGAAAATTTTTATTCATATGTATAGAGTATTTCCAGTCTTCATGGTAAATTGACTTGAACTGGAAAGAAACGATGTAATATTTCTAATGTTTTAAAGATTTATTATGGTTTCCGTTTAATTTATCGAATGTATAAGTTTCTTTTCGTTGTGTTTTAGAAAGAAAAGATTCTTGTAAAAGTGACAAGGAGTAATTTTCGTGGCAAAAGTTCAATTTCACACAATGATATTCAACAAAAACCCATTAAAAACGCAAATTAAAAATTTTTAAAAAGAAAATTCATTGATTTACAATATTCTTGAAGGGAGAAATAGAAAAATATGTTAATGTGTTAAATGATTAATATTCTGTTAAATTGTTCACAAAATGTTTAGAATCAGTTCACATAAACAATGAGCATTTTCGCATATCGTTGCGAGTAGACAACATCACTAGTTGAATAGAAAGACTATGGTTAAACCAAATCCAATGGATATTTGTTCTACTAGTAAGAAGGACTTGCAAAATTTTGTTCATAAAGCTAAAGTTTATAAATATTCCTGGAAACTATAAATGTCGCATGCAATAGGGAGAAAATAATTTTTTACAAGCGTTGAACATAAACAAGAGGACTTTCTCCTGAGAGGCTTGAGTTTTTTCATCATTCTGATCTTTTCACCATTCAGATGTTCTTCTCTAACTATAGAAATATTTGACTGACACTGAAAAATAAGAGAGCTAGGTTTAAGTTTTGTGACTGTCAAAGCCCTAAAATCGTGTCAGTGTCATCCATCAAATTCTTATCGAACTTTTTGATGAACAAGGAACGAATTGCTTTGAAGAAACGTATCAGTTACTCAAAATTTTTCAAGCTCTGTTATGCAAATGTATATGAAGTAAGGGAAGGACATCTGGATAACGAAAAGTGCAGAATGAAGCAAAAAAAATTAAAATAACTCAGGGGAAAGCGGTGTGTTGCCCTCTTCGAAACTCAAACAAAAAGGTTTTTTACGTATGGGATATGAAATTTATAATTTTCAGGTGCATTTCTAAACTTTAACATGATGAATAATGCTTGCAAGCCTCCTCTATCGGTAGAAAAAGACATTTGATTTAGTTAAACTTCAGTAGAGGTAAACAGCTATGGTTTTGCCAGGTGACTTTTTGGACACTATGTGATTTCTTTTAAACAATTGAAAATGATCATTTCTGACTTTCCAACATCATTAATGCATTATTGTTTGTCAACTTATTTTTTCGCAACAAAATACAGGATGACTCATGGGAAACTTCGTTATTTTTATTTTATTCTTTGTGTAAGATGAAGTCGTTCACTTATTGACATTGTGGCGTGCTTTTTGTTGTTTCGTTCTTTTTTTCTTTCATGTTCTCTTTATCAAGTCAACAAACTGATGGCGTCTTCATCGTCTAAAAAACCATGTTCGATAGAAAATGGTTGCAAACAAGCAGCGATCACCACTTGCGATGGGTGTTCACAAGCTTTTTGTTTTAAGCATTTCACTGATCATCGTAATCTACTCAATGATGAAATAAACAAAATCATTAGTGAACATGATGATCTGAAAAATTCACTTACTCAACAAACAAAAAATCCAACTTGTCATTCACTGATCAAACAAGTCGATGAATGGGAAACACAATCAATCTCAAAAATTCAACAACGAGCAAAAGAATTACGACAAGAGCTATCTGAATTAACGAAAAATAATACAAATAATTCGTCGCAGAAACTACAAGATTTAGCAAAAGAAATAAATGAATGTCGTGAAAATGGTGATTTTCTTGAGATAGATCTTCGTCGTTGGAAAGAAACGCTTGAAGATCTCAAACTACATATAACTTCACCATCAAAAATAACCATCAATAGAGTGAATGAAAATGCATTAATTCAAAATATCTCTGTGAATTTAAAGAACAAGACAACAAACGAAGTATTTGAGAGAGTATGTAACAATTGTGCGCAGATTCAAGAAAATGGTCACATGGTTGTCCACGTCGGCTCTCATAAATACGTGGAAGTTCGTGGAAAGAATGAATACAGCTCAGGGGTTCACAAAATTCGGCTATGCATTGAAGATTTCCCAGGACGATGGCTATTTTTTGGGATCAATTCTAAATCAACTCCTCTTACAGACAATTCTTATAGTGCAAAGTCAACATATGGATGGAGCAGCAACAACTATAGCTGGTCAAAGGGAGAATATAATAACGTTAGTTCAGTATATCCCATTGAGATGAAGAAAAATGATGTTATTAGTTTAATAATTGATTGTGACAGCTTGAAACTATCAATGATCAATGAGCGAACAAAAACAAAACAGGAATTAACGATTGACATAAATTACTGTCCTGTACCTTGGCAGTTCCAGGTTATTTTGTACGAAAAAGACACTCGCATACATATTTTACCAACAGGAATTACATCTTGATCAATTATGGTTCCATTAGAAAAAATTGCAGTAGAAAATATGTGCACTACTTGTTATGCTATTTTTGTATTTTCATATATAAAAAAGTATGGATAATAAGTTCATTGATTGAATATCCTAGATTGAAAGTTAACATGTTTCATTTCTTGTATAGAATAGCACAGAAAGATATAAGTATAATTAATAAAATATAATTATTTTATCATTGATTTTAAGGTTCTTGAGTAGAAGCTGTAGAAAAAAAAGAATTCTAACAAAAGACTTCTACCAATAAAGAGAACTATTTTTTATTTTGTAGGTGCTTTTGTTCACATCAAAGGTCACGCGTTGTTATCTTTATTGAAATAACCTATAAATATTACGATGAAATTATCTTTCTGAATTTTCACACATCTAGTTTAAAGAAGTTTTTGACAATTTCCTGAATGTCAGCTGTTATCATGTGATTCGAACTGGACAACTACTGGCAGTTTTTTCGGAGAGTGCTGCATCACAGTGTATTTTTGCAGTCTATTAAAAATGACATATTAAATCGATTTCGATTCACTCTGATAACATTGATGCATTTGAACCGTCTTTACTAGTCACATAGCACATGTTAGTCCGAGTTGCGAGACAATTTTTTTTAAACAAAATGGATCAAAATTAGCGTTATCGAAGAAAAGTTTGAGTATTTCAGCCATCTTTGGACCAAACAAACTGATATGTTTATTGTTAATAGAGGAGTGTTCATGAGTCATATCCATAAGAAAAACATTTTAAAAAATGCTTTGAGATATTACTTTTGATCTCAATTAAAGAGCTGATCTACCGTGGATAAGCAGAAAACATTGTTTCTCTAAGAAAAAAAAATACACGATATATATCGTTTTGTAGATTAATTCTTCAAACTATTGCTGTTGC